AATCAGAATAATAGAGATATTACAATTAAAAAATTAAGTATTATCCCAACCGCCATTACTTTTGGCTGGGACTGTATTATTTATAAATATACTTTTCTTATAATTAAAGTATTATATTAATGTAAATCATATCAATAATAAAATACTTTTATTGTAATTAATCAAGATTACTTACTTGTATAAAATAAATAATTATAAAATTACCTGTATTATAAAAATTTGATAAAATGTTACCAATTGAGATATGCTATTTGTATGATAGGTAACAATAGTAATATCCCTATTGATGATTTAGGAATAATCTGATTAGGAACTAAATGTTAATAAATTGATACTAATAAGAATAATCCTATTGATATCTTTATAACACCCTGATTGAACCCTTATTGTATCCTATCTATGCTATTATTCATCATCAATCGGAATCACCTGATTTTAAAAAAACAAAAAAATAGAGAACTAATCAGGTCAAATCTGTCAATTCAGATTTAACCCGATCGGTCTCCTATTTGTTATTATTTAACTAGTGAAAGGCTTATCTTAATGTATTCCTAAAAAAAATAAAGAAAACAGTTAGAAAACCACTAAAATACCACCTCTGAAAGGCTTACCTTAATGTATTCCTAAAGAAAGTAAAGAAAAATAAAGAAAACAGTTAGAAAACACTAAAATACCACCTTCGAAAGGCTTACTTTAATGTATTCCTAAAAAAAATAAGAAAACAGTTAGAAAACCCACTAAAATACCACTTTTGAAAGGCTTACCTTAATGTATTCCTAAAGAAAGTAAAGAAATAATAAAGAAAATAGTTAGAAAACTCACTAGAAACTACTTCGAAAGGCTTACCTTATTTTTGAAAAGAGAAATTTCCTAAAAAAAACAAGAAAAAAGAGTTAAAAACTATCCAAAAGTTACTTTCGATTTGCTTACCTTAATTCCCAAAATAAGAATTTCCTAAAATCAAAAAAAAAAAAAAAATGCTAAAAAAGTCACTTCTAATTAGCTTACCTTAATTCCAAAATAAGAATTTCCTAAAAAATAAGAAAAAAGAAAGAAAAAGGTTAAATTTCCGCCCAAAAATCGTCTCACTAGAAAAAAAAATGAAAAAATAAATTTTTTCAGAATATTGGGAACTTGTCAATAGAAAAGAAGGAAATCTAAAAAATATAAAAATTTTACTTCTTATGCTAAATATAATTTTTTTAGTAAAATAAGTTCAAATTTAACTTTAACTTATAAAAACTTTTTTTTTAGATTTTCTTTCTTTCTATTGACAAGCTCCCATATTCTGAAAGTTTATCAGTTTTATATTGTAAATTAAACTAAAATTTCAATTAATCTAAAATTTTAGATATTATTTATGCTATTTATTATAAATGCTACAAATGGATGATTTTGTATACTCCGATTGCAAAATCAACGACATTTTGATTGTTCCTTAAGAATGATATAGAAAATCGTTCTAAAGAAATGACTATATATAATTCCTTAAAAATGATATAGAAAATCATTCTTTTGAAATGATGATGTATCATTCAGAAAGAACGATAAAAAAAATATTCTTTTAGAACGATGATGCATCGTTCTAAAAGAACAATAAAAAACATTGTTCTAAAGGAATGATGATGTATCATTCCTTAATAATGATGAAAAATTGTTCTAAAGGAACAATGATGTATCGTTCCAATAGACCGATAACAAAAATCATCTTAAAGAAATGATGATTTATCGTTCTTTCAGAACGATAAAAAAAATTGTTCTAAAAGAATGATGATGAATCATTTTGAAAGAGCGATAAAAAATCATCATTCTTTTAGAATGATAATGTATCGTTCCAATAGAACAATAACAAAAATTATTTTAAATGAATGATAATATATCATTCTAAAAGAACAATAAAAAATATCATTCTAAAAGAACAATAAAAAATATCATTCTAAAAGAACAATAAAAAATATCATTCTAAAGAAATGAAGATATATCAATCATTCCTTAAAAATGATGAAAAAATCATTCTAAAGAAACGATGATGAATCAATCGTTTCAAAAGAACAATAAAAAACATCATTCTAAAGGAATAATGATGAATCAATCATTCCAAAAGAATGATAAAAAAAATCATTCTAAAGGAATGATGATGCATTGTTCCTTAAAAATGATGAAAAAATTGTCCTTTCAGAATGATAAAAAATATCGTTCTAAAGGAATGATGATGAATCATTCTTAAAGAACGATAATTGATTGTTCCTTTGAAGATGATTCTACGTTTCTTTTGGGATAATTTCTATCATTCCTTTAGGGACGATTTCTATCATCTCTTTGGGAATGAATGTTTGTTCTTTTTGAGATGATTTCTATCATTCCTTTAAAAATAAATATTCGTTCCTTTTAGAACAATTTCTATTGTTCCTTTGGAAACAAATGTTTGTTCCTTTTGAAACGATTTCTATCGTCTCTTTTAGGATGATTGTATCATTCCTTTAGGGACAATTTCTATCGTCTCTTTGGGAACGAATATTCGTTCCTTTTATGATGAATATATTGTTCCATTGGGAATGATTACTCTCAGAATGTTTTTATAATTTTCGCAAAAATCAGCTCAACAGATTTCGACCAGTGAGATACAGTCGATTTGTTACCAAATCTTGAGTCTAACAAAAATTTTGCTGAATATTATAACTAAAAGATCTTAATGCTGAAATAATGCTAAATTATGTATGATGTAACAAATTACTATTGATTTTTATAACTTAAGCAGAATTTTTTTTAAATCACACGGCTGAATGTTTGATAAAATATCTAATACTGAAATAATACTAAATTATGTGTGATGTAATAAATGACTATCAATTTTTGTAACTTAAGCTGAATTTTTGTTGAATTATATGACCAAATCAGCTGAATGTTAACTAAATGGTATTAGTGCCGAAAAAAATGATTTCGACTAGTGATATGCTATTTTAAGATAAGTTGATCCATTATCTTTCCTGAGAAAGTCATTAACATTATTTCATTACCTTCATAGATATTTCTACCATCTCCTTCCAGTATTTTTTCTTCAATATTTTTTCTGAAATGTATTTCTTATCACACTCCCGAAAATATTCTTCTGAGCAAATAAGATATAAAGAATCAGTTTCCCTATATTTTACACTAAAACTTTTACTTCTGACAAGATCAGCAATAAGCTTGATATTTTGCTGACCAGCTGATATTATTCCACCAGCTAGTTCTCGCAAAAAGAAAGGAGATCTACTATTCCCTACTTTATCCATAAAAAATTACTAATGACACATGTTTTACTAAGTGACTTACCGTGGTAATAGAAAATTTTAATACATAGTGCCGTGAAAGTGCAAGGAGGTGTAATTATATCGAAGACCTTAATGATTTTGTGTTGAGGTGAAACAACATCATAAAGCAGAATACGCAGCTATGAATCTAATCAATTCGATCATGTGCAAGCTTCTCTTCTGAAAGCTCTTTTGGTAAGAAAAAAATCAGAGTTTATTGATAAGTCGATGCTCTTTATTATATCTTACTAATATATTTTGCTTACAGGATCAGGCCAATAACATTCAGAGGCATTAGCCTAACAATTCAAGGAAATTTTCGATTGAATTAGACCGAAAAAAAATTAAACTTGATGGTTCATGTAGCAATGGAATGTAAATCCTTGCACTTTGTGGAAAGATACATTTCAAGGGTTTTATGAAAGAAATATCAAGAAGGAAGTACTTTAGATGATATTGGTTTATGGTTAAATAGCAAAATTTAAATAGCAATACGAAGTATGGGAATGAACTCTCATTTTATGGGTTAGGGCTCAAGAAGTTTCTCCCTACTTCAATTTTTTTCTTTATTTTTCTAAGAAAGTTTTGCCCGATTTTGTTTGGGTTTATCCTTAGTGCACATAATTAATTTTTATTTGCTTGGATACAATATAATCCAGAATAAATCATGATATCTCTTTTTAAAAAAATGCAACTTTATGTTTTTTATAAATTCCTTGCTATTATAGGTATTTATTTCAGAAAACAGCAACCGAGGATAAAGCTGTTGTGCTGACTGCAATTTTAATCTTCTCATTATTGGTTGAACTTATTGCAACTTTAATGACCAATACTCTACCTTCTGATTCAACATTTTTTAATTCTTCAAGGGCTTTCTTTTGTTCTTCTTCATCACTCAATTCTACGAATCCAAAACCCTTTGGGCGTCCACTTACACGATGACGAACGACGTGAGCAGAGGTTACGTTATAATTTTTGAAGATGTCCTTCAAACCATCATCATCAATAGAAAAAGGAAGATTTGCAACGAAAACAACAGTTTTAGAGGGTTCTCTAGTTTTCATAATAGAATTTTGTCGATTTGCATTTAGACGATGACCTCGACAACGTCCTCGAGACAAACCACCCCTTCATTTAGGTGTGCGTTCACTGTTATCGATACTACCTTGAGTTTATTTTTAAATTTGATAGTAAAATACTTTTCATCGAAATCTACGAATAGTTGTGCTTTATATAGTCTGTACCGAGGATATTCAGATCGCTGAAGGGATCAGGTGATACTTTTTCCGAGATCTGTCTTTTATTAAGTCTCACAGGAAAAGGTTCTTCTGGGTCGGTAATACACAGCTTATACGATTTTATTATTTCTTCACATATAAAAATCCTTGGGGAACCCGTATCAACCAGAAATTGATCTTTCCTTTTATTTCTAATGTCATTGCACCGAAAAGTGTTGAAAATCACAAAATAATATCCTTTTACATCATCTGATTCTTGCTTAGAGTCAGTAAGCTATTTTGTATAAATTTTTTTTGATATTTAATCGTTTGAATGAATAACGGGTATTTGTGGTATTAATCATTTTTATTATAAGTTATTTTGCGAAAAGAAAAGAATGTAAACTTTCAACAGGATTTCGTATTAACTAGGATACTGGATATAATAAATATGTATTTTACGCGTTAACCCCAAAAATCCGGCATTTTCATATTACATAAGCAAGTCATGAATTTCCGGCCGCAGGTTAGTGGCGCAGCATTATTTGTCATCCCTCCATTATATTTATATGGATTATTAAGTATGATTGATATAAACAAAAAGCAACCTCAAAGATTCCTTAATCTTTACAAAATGGATCTACGTTCTTGGGTTTCCGACAGCGTGATGAAATTACTTGGGATGTCTGAAAAGATCTTTATAGATTACATTATTGCTGAAGCACGATCTTGCAAAACTCGAGAATCCTTACGAGAAAAGTTAGAAGAGTTACCACAAACAATAGAAGCTCAACGTTTTATTGACGAACTATTTGTTCGAGTACCAAGAAATAAGTCTCAAAAGGATGAGGCTTATTTGAAAAGGAAAAGGGAAGAACAGGAAGCTAAAGAAACTTTAGCTAAATCAAAATCGTACAAGTTGATCCTTGATGATTTTAGTTTTGAAGAACCATCTTCAAAGAAATCTAAAAAATCTAAAAAAGACAAAAATTTACGTAAAAAAGAAAAATCTAATTCATGGGAAAGTGATTCGGATGATAAGAAATCTAAAAGTTCGTCGTCAAAGAAAAGGTCAAAATATTCTGAATCAGATGATGAATATGAAAAAGAAGAGAAAGAAAAAATTAAAGATTTAAAAGAAAGGGATGAATTCGCTAAAAGATTAAGACAAAAAGATAAAGAAAAAACCAAAAAACTTGTTGAAGACAGGTCTTCTAAGGCAGAAAGTGATGCTGCTAAAAGGCGTAATCTTGCCGATGATGCTGAAGCTCGTAGGAAGGTTCTACCAGACATTCGTGAGCGTTCTCGTCAAGAATACTTAAGAGATCGTACTGATAAACAAATGAAAATGTTAGAATTGGGAATTCTTGATGAAGATATGTTATTCAAAGGTGAAAAGCTAACCAAAAAAGAGATAAGGGAGCTTGAATTAAAAAAAGAAACCCTCAGGTTAACAAAAGAAAGATTAAGTCTTTCTGGAAAGACTGACGATTATGCTATGCCCGAAGATTATATTACTGAGAAAGGAAAAATAGACAAGAAAAAAAAGGAGACGGTTTTATATCAACGTTATGAAGAGGATCGTGACCAGAACAAGTTTGTCACAGATCAAGACCAATGGGAACAAAATCAAATCGTAAAATCACAATTAAAAGTGGGAGCGCAGGATAGATTTAAACAAGAAGAACAATATGATTATGTTTTCGATGATCAGTCCATAGAATTCTTAAATTGGGATTGGAAAACTAATAATGAAGATGAAATAATAGCCAAAATTGACGAGGCTGAAAAGAAAGCAAAAACTATTGAAGAAACTCGTAAATCTTTGCCGATTTACGCTTTTCGTAATGATTTACTTAGTGCTATAGAAGAATATCAAGTATTAGTTATCGTAGGAGAGACAGGTTCCGGTAAAACCACTCAGCTACCACAATATTTACATGAAGCTGGTTATACCAAGGGAGATAAAAAAGTAGGTTGTACTCAACCTAGAAGAGTTGCTGCTATGAGTGTGGCTGCTCGTGTAGCTGAGGAAATGGGTGTTAAACTTGGATATGAGGTTGGTTATTCAATCCGATTTGAGGATTGCACATCAGACAAGACTATAATTAAATACATGACTGATGGTATGTTGCTTCGTGAATTCTTGACTGAACCTTTGTTAGACGGTTATAATTGTCTTATTATAGATGAGGCTCACGAGAGAACTTTACATACTGATGTTCTCTTTGGATTGGTTAAGGATATTGCTCGTAGCAGACCTGATCTTAAACTTTTAATTTCAAGTGCTACACTAGATGCTCAAAAATTCGCGGATTATTTTGATGGAGCTCCGATCTTTTCTATTCCAGGAAAACCTTACCCAGTCCAGGTTTGCTATACAAAAGCCCCTGAAGCAAACTATATTGGTGCTGCAGTGACAACCGTGATGCAACTACATATTACTCAACAGAAAGGTGACATCTTAGTCTTCTTAACAGGTCAAGAAGAAATCGAAACTGTACAAGAAAGTTTACAGCAAGCTTGTAGGGCCTTAGGTAGCAAAATAAGGGAACTTATAATTTGTCCAATTTATGCTAACCTTCCTCCAGACATGCAAGGAAAGATATTTGAACCAACGCCACCTGGTGCTCGGAAGGTGATATTAGCCACAAATATCGCAGAGACATCTATAACTATTGACGGGGTCTCTTTTGTTATTGATCCAGGATTTGTTAAACAAAACTTTTATAGTGCAAAAACACGCATGGAATCATTAGAAGTTGTTACTTGCTCAAGAGCTTCAGCAACACAACGTGCAGGAAGAGCTGGTCGTGTTGGACCGGGGCATTGTTTTAGATTGTACACAAAACATGCATACGGAAATGAAATGGAAGAGAATAATGTACCTGAGATCAAGAGAACTAACTTGGGCCACGTTGTGTTATTGTTAAAAAGTATTGGTATTCGTGATGTGATGAGTTTCGAATTTATGGATCCTCCCCATGAACAAGCGCTTATTTCAGCCCTTAAGGATCTATCTGATCTTGGCGCTTTAAATAACGAAGGAGAATTAACCAAACTCGGAAGACGTATGGCTGAATACCCTTTAGATCCTGTCTTGTCCAAAACTATAATAACCTCCGAAAAATATCATTGTTCAGAAGAGGTTATATCTATTATCAGCATGCTTAACGTTCAAAGTTCAGTTTTTTATCGACCAAAAGATAAAAAATTTCATGCCGATAAAGCACGTCAAAACTTTACTAAATCGGGTGGAGATCATTTCACGTTATTAAATGTATGGGAACAATGGGTAGATACAAATTATTCATTAAGCTGGTGTCACGAGAACTTCATTGTATATCGATCAATGACACGAGCACGAGATGTCAGGGACCAACTTGTTGGATTGTGTGAACGTACCGAGGTTAAATTGGAATCGAATCCAAATCCTGCTGATATAGTACCAATACAAAAATCTTTTGTTGCAGGATTTTTTATGAATACAGCAAAACTATTACCATTTGGTGATTCTTATCAAAAGATTAAATTTGGAGAAGCTGGAAGAAGGATACATATTCATCCAAGCAGTTCACTATTTCAAACACCACCAAAATGGGTACTTTATTATGAATTAGTTGCCACTCAAAAAGATTATATGAGACAAGTTATGGAAATTCAACCTCAATGGCTAACGGAAGCCGCACCCGCTTGTTATACAAAAGCTGAATTAGATAAATTAGATTCAAAAAAGAAAATGCCAAAAAATCATCAAGTTACAGGTTCACCATCTTTAAGTGTCATTTAGTAAAGATAAAGTGTTTGTATCATTATTATTATTATTAAAAGTTATTTCTTTTTTTCTTATTTTTTTTTTCAATAATAGCACCCAATTCAAATTTCAAATCACATGCATGATTTGAAATTTAAATAAAAAAAAAAAATTTCAATTATTATTAACTCGTCATCAAGCGCATTTAGAAGTATCATTAGATGCATATTTAGAATCGCAATATTCATCCTATTATTTATCTGGCTTTTGTTAATTTGTTGAGAAGGCTTTGCATTTAAAAATGAAAAATAAGAAATCATTAATTTATTAATTTAGGACCTGATTTAGGACATATATTAATAAGTACCTTTATTTAAAAAATAAATTATAGATAATATTACAAAACGTATTAGAATTTTTTCAGGCCTACTTTCTATAGGCATAAATAATCTAAATATTCAAAAAAAAATTTTTAAAAAAAGTTCTTTTTTGATCAAATTTACTCGTATTTCATGATAACATACCCGGGTATTTATCAATCAAAATAAACTAATTTATATATTATCTTAATAGGTAAATGAACAAATAAATTACTTAGTTGAGTTTAATGAATATTCCTAATTTTTTTTATAAAAAAAATAGATAAGAATATGAATGATCCATTTATTTGTGTTGATGAGCAATTAATTAAGAAAAAATAAAATAAAATAAAATAAAATGGCAATTTAGGCTGATTAAAAACAAACGATTATAAATTATGTTTAATCTATTACAAATTCAAAAACCCTTCTTTATTCTTCATCATAATAAGTTTTCTAATTTGATTGGCTTACATTCACTTCTTTTTTTCTTTCTATTTCTTTTTCTTCTTTTGCTTTTCCATTATTTATTTAATAACTGAATTATCTGTAGCAGCTATTACTATTGCTATTATTATAGTTACTGCTGCTGATATTGGAGTTTTTATTATTATAGCTATTGCTGTTACTATTGAAATTGCTGTTATTATTAACATCATGATCTATGAATATCTGAAAATATTAAATTACATTATCTGGCTTAATCCAAAAATGACTTTGAATTTCATATGGTATATATTATTATTTCATGTTTTTTTTTTCCTTTGAATTCTTAACAAGAATATTTAAAGAAATAATAACAATATATTATATTATTTTGAATATTGACCTTACAATCTTCATAATTTCATAAAATTTTGTTATATTTGCTATCCTAAAAATTATTCATAAATTATTGGTTAATTTTTTTGCAGTAGAATTTCACTATGTTATTTTATAATTACTATTATTAAATAAATAGTAGTGATTATTATTTACTTTTTATTCATCAATCAACATTCTTATTTTATTGTTTTCTATGTAACCATTTTTAATAAAAAATCAAAATTTAGGAATATTTTTTTAAATAAAATTTAATTATTTTTTTTTACTTATTATTAATATAATAAATTACTATTTAAATTGAAATAAATCTTATTTATATATAATTCTACAATTCTACCTATGATTCACCTATGATAATATATATAATTTAATAATAAATACTTATGACTTGCCTGTAATTAATTTTTATATAATATTATAATGTTATAATGATATTAATTAATAAGATTAAATAAAAATTCTTATCATAAGAAAATTAAAAATTAAAGAAATTAAACTTAATTACTATTTCAAATTAACTTTTTAAAAATTATACTTTATTATTAAAAAAATTTTATATTATTCTGTTTTATAATTGTATATAATTATTAAAACCAATCATAAATAATATATTGTTTCTTATTTCTTGATAATATTTATTATTTAACTCATTTTTTTTATTATTATTTATATCATTATCATTATTCTTATTATTACTATTATTAATAGCATTAATCTTATTATTATAGATAATATCTTTTTTAAGATTATCTTTATTTAATTAATTAAAGTTAAAAATCAAAATATTTTCTGATTCAATTATATTATTCAAAATTCTATAAAGTATAAAAAACATTAAATCATATCTAAGATTGTTTATATAAACTTAACATTAAAACTAAATTTTTATTGAAATTTTGATATAATATCACTATTTTTATATAATTTTACCTTTTTAAAGTTTTATTGATTTTATAATAAGATTTTAATATCACTTTTACTATTTAGATGTCTAACTAAATTTTAGATTTTATCTAACAATCTTAATTATATTAATATACATAGATTTATAACTTTCTTTTATTCAGATAGCTATATAAAAATAAGAAGATTTTCTAATTTTTTTGAAAAAGTATATTCTTTAATTGTTTTACTTATCCAATGATTATATAGATTTACTTTTACTTTGAAGATTAAATATAAAGTAATTGTAATTAAAAGGTTAGCCTTCTGAATAATAATTAAGTTTATTTTTTTATAAAACTATTTTTAATTTTGTAAGCAGAAAATAAATCTAATAATAAAAAAATCTTAGATTACTTTCTTATTTTAAATATTTTATCTAAATATTTTTAGTTTATTATATTATTTCTTCTTATTTATTATTTTTTAGAATTTGCATAAATTATTATATTATAAAAATTTCTTTTTAGAAAATCTTCTTAAATTTGAAAATAATTACTGATATTAGCTTTATTTTATCAGCTAAATAAGTTATATAATAATAAAATTTGATTGCTTGTAACTTATAAGCAAAATTGATATAGTTTTAGAATTGAATTATTTTATAGTTATATATTACTTAAAAAATTAAATGATTTTAGTATTTCATTTATATTTCTAATAAAGAATAATAAATATTTAAGATTGTTATCCTAAACTATTAAAAATTAATTTTGGTTAAACAAAACTAGTTTTGATAGTTTTAGTTATTAACTAAACTAGATTTAATACTTTATATTCAATAAGTTAAATTACAGAACTTTAATTTTAAATAGTAATACTATAGATATTAGTTCTTGATTTTCAAATATATGATACAGTTACTTTCAAAAGTAACGCACTACCTAATATTTAACTTTAAAAGTTTATAACTCAATGCTAAAAATATGATTTTATATTTATTTTAATTCTTAAATCTTAGAGAATAACTAATAAAAATTTGAAGTGCAATTATTAATACCAGTTTTACACAATTTTGCGATTAATATAAACATTTTATTACATAAAATTTCAGTGTTAGAAATTTTTTTTCAGTAGGTCAACTACTAAAAACTGATACTGGATTATGATTCTTCTCAATACAGCAATTCCAACAAGCTAAAATTTGTTCAAATCAGATCAGTAGATCAACAAATAATTGATCTAAAAGCTTGTTTTCATTTATATAAAAAATGTATCTAACCATATGGGAGCTGATTTATTAAAAATGGGTTACAGGAACCTTTCAACAAAAAATGAGATTTTTGATTCATATTATAGTATATTAAATGAACTTTATTTGGTTAAATTTTTAGAGGCTATTAGCTTATTAATAAAACAAGTAATTTGGCTGGCAAAAATGCTTAAATTTCTGTGTAATTTCAATCAAATATCTAAAATTAGATTTTAATGATTGACGTAAATTTTAGCAATGATTGACAAATGATAAATATATATAAAAATGCTTTAGAGTATGGTTTAATAGCAAAATCTCAAAAATTTCAAGTGTTACAAAATTGATGTAATAATATTTTGATAAGGCAGAGTTAATAGAGAAATTTTAGATATTTTATAGTTTCATTATTTTAATATTTGTAAAATAATTATTATAATAAAATGTTATATATATAAAATTAAAGTATCGCCTTATTAATTTTTTTTTTTTTTTAAAGTGCGGTAGTTTCGCAAAATCTTTATTAATAATAAAATAAAAAATTTACATTTAACAGAAGTTACGAAAATCTCTATCTAAAATAATCAAAAAACTATTCTAAATCAAAACCGACCCTGCACTTTCCCAGAATCAAATATAAAAAAAATTTTACATCATCACCTTCCAGTAAACCGACCAGAGAAAGGAAAGGGCTTGATCCCTACTGCACCAAAAATTTGTCCAATGTGATCCTAAGTGAAGCATCTTAGTAATTAATTCAGTAGATGAGAGGTTATCAAACGATGACCTAAAATGGTAGCCTGTAGCTTCGGTGTGTGATCTTTTAAGGAGATCCGTAATGTCTTGAGATTTTTCAAAATCTTTGAGTAAAGAACATCGATCTGTCCATATTTTCTGAGTGTGAGTAAATACGAAATGCATGACGTCTGATACTGCTGCCATAGTGGATTCATTTGAAGTAAATTGTGAGTTGATAAATGAGTAAAGTTCAGAAGGAACAACACCTTTGATTATATCAACGAAAGAAAATGATGAAAATAATGGAGGTGGCCAAACGAATAAGTGGTCCAAAAGTGGGGTAAGGTTATCTACTTGAGTGATTTCCTTGAGATAGAACTTTAATAGGTTGATAATATTAAGCATGTCTTGATAAACAGAAGCACAAGTCCAAATGTGGTTGAAGTCTTCATGCATTATATTACAACGAATACATAGCCATGAGAGATCATAGATTTCAGGGTGACGTAGTTGTAGCACATCCAATGATGGGAGCATCTCCAATATTCTTTGGATCTTTTTCTTTTTTAATTCAGAGGCTTCATACGTTGTCGTTGAAGTAGCGGTGTTATCAGAAATGTAGAATGCAGTCGCAACCCAGTTTATATTCAT